TCAAACATGGGATATAAGTGCTCCATCACTGAGATATACACCTCAGCCTGATGAACTTTAAGGATTTCATATTAAAGAAAGAAAACTGAGCTTTCTCAGTGGGTAAAAGTGGCTGCAGCCTGATGACCTGAGTACCATCTCAGGGACCCAATGCTAGTACAGAACCAACTTCTACAAGTAGTTCTCTATCCTCCACATTCATGCTGTGTAGCCTGTGCACATGTGTGCACACACAAATAAGCAAATAAATAAATGTATTTAAATATCCTACAGCAAGTGAGATGACTCAGTGAGTAAGAAGACTGCTGCCAAGCTTGATGATCTGAGCTTGATCCCTAGACACACATGGTGGAAGGAAACAACCAACTCCCACAAGTTGCATTCTGACCTTCACATTCTTGCCGTAGCTCAGATGCATGTGCATTCAAATACACAAAAGAGATAAAAAAAAATATGAAGGGCTGGAGATATAACTTAAAGGTAAGTTGTTTACCTAGCACAGACAAAATCCTGGGTTCAACCTCTACCTCCAAGTACTAAAAGGAAAAAAAAATCTTAGAATATATTTTACTTTTCATTATTTCAAAATTAAAAGTTCTGGGATAAGCATGTTATTCAGTCATAGAGCACTTGCCTGGTACATGTGAGGCACTGGGAAGAAGTTCAATCCCCAGCAACCTCCTCCAAAATACAGTTAAAATTCTTAATTCTGGGCTACAGAGATGGCTTAGCTGGTAAAGGCACTTGCCACCAAGACTGAAAACCTAAATTCAATGCTTGGAACTATATGGGGAAAGATGTGTGCTGACCTCCACATACACAAGAACACAGACAAAAAGATATTTTTAAAAATTCTAACTTCAAAGGGTATCTACTGTTGCATATGGTGGTGCATGCCTTTAATCCCAGTACTTGGGGGCAGAGGCAAGCAGATCTCTGGATTCGAGGCTAGCCTACTCTACAAAGTGAATTCTAGGACAGCCAGAGACCATTTTTTGGAGTTTTTGTTTTGTTTTTTGCTTTTTCACCACAGGGTTTCTCTATGTGACCTTGACTGTCCTGGAACTCTCTTTGTAAAAGGCTGGCCTCAAATTCACAGAGATTCACCTGCCTCTGCCGGGATTAAAGGCATGTGCCACCACCCCCTGGCTGAGACCCTGTTTATTTGGAGACAAGGTTTCACTTTATAGCTTTGGAGAGCTTTGAACTCAGAGATCCACCTGCCTTTGCCTTCCTCATACTTGAATTAAAAATCTGGGGGACCATTCCTGGCCTCCCCCCCCACGGTCATCTACATTTTAAATTTTCTATCATTTTGTGATACAGGTGTTTTGACTACATATTTATTTGTGTACCACATAAGTGCCTAGTGGCCACGGAAGCCAGAAGAGTCTCAAGTTATCTGGAACTGGAATTACAGATGGCTGTGAGATGCCATATGGGTGCTGGGAACTGAACTCTAGTCCTCTAGAGAAACAACTAGTGCTCTTTGGCATTGAGCCATCTCCAGCCCTACTTTTGTGCCAGCAGTAATACAAGGTATACCTAGGACAGAAGTTACCTATGGGAGCCTTTCCAATTGGTTCCTAAAATGGCAATGATAAGTTTCTTCTACTCTTCCTTTTGTTGCTGCTGTTCCTCGAAAACCAGCCTCACAGCACTTGCTGTTCCTCTTTGTCTAGGATCACTCTATACAGACATCTATGACTCCCTTTAGATCACTAGGCAAGAGTCAATTCAATGAGACCTTGTCCCAAACCGCTCTTAAAATAACAGAACCCAGCAGGTTTGTGGCATACACCTTTAAACCCAGTACTCAGAAGGCAGAGGCAGGTGGACTTCTATGAGTTTTGTGGTCTGCATAGTGAGTTTCAGGAGAGCCAAGACTACATACAGAGAGAAACCCTGTTCGAAAAAGCAAACAAAATAAAAATTACAAAAGCCTTCTACACCATCAACCAAAGAATCTCCACCTCTGCTTTATTTTTTTCCTAAAGTATATTTAACACCAAAGTAAAATTGTTTGAGACAATGTCTCATATTCCAGGCTGCCTGCCTCTACTGAGGAAAATTCTCAACTCATCCTCTTGCTTCCACCTCCTAGTACTGGAACTACAGAAATGGGCCACCATACTTTTTATTTTTAATTTTTTGTTCAAAAATTTTTGTTTTGTGCCAGGAATACTTACACATACCTATAATCCCAGTACATGGGATACAGAGGCAGGAGGATGACCTTGACTTTAAAGCAAACCTGGGCTACAGTGTAAAACTGGGGGGGGGGGATTAAAAAAACTGTTAAAACTAGTAACACTAACTTGAATCCACAGCACCTAGAACAGTGTGCGGACATAGTAAATGCTTAATAATAGTTGATCTATGAAGAACTTTACTTCACAAACCTCCATGTTCTATACTATTCAATTTAAACATGAAAATATCCAAACTATGAGGTCAACCTACTGGCCTAAAGCTATGATATTTTGGAGCAAGGGTCTTCCTGAGTTCTATACCTTCCTAATTAACTGCCATTACTACAAGCCCTCACCAATGGCCTGTAGCACAAGTCCTTATTAATAGGCCTTAATAATAAAAAACCCAGAGTCAGATAATTGGAGTATATGCTAAAAGACCAGAGAAGCAAAGGAGCCAGCCATTAAAGAAACTTCTTTCTTACCTCTACTAAATCCTCAAACCAAAATGGGCGATCCTGTATCTAGGAATCCTCAGACTGAATGCCATGACCTTCAGCCTTATAGTTCTCTCTCCACCCACCTAGTGCTAGGAAGGTTTGTGCCACCACTACCTGGCCTCTACACATGCTAACTAGTATGGCTAGCTCTACATTCTGATCTTCAGGCAAGCTTTGTTACATCCCAAATAAAATGTCACAATGACCAACTTCTGTTGTTCTTCAATTTTTAAAAAAGCCCAAAGGAGCTATGGCATTCTAGTTCTGAAGAAATGGCTGGTAATAAATTAATCTACAACATGCCCCCAACCCAGACCAAGATTCATTGTCCTCACTTAACATTCAGTCATGAAACATTTGCAGTTCCAAAGATCAAATCTGACAAATGCCCACCAACATAGGGAGAGGGTCAAAATCGGGGGGAAATGTTAAAGGTACTGAAATAACACTTTTTCCTTTCTCCCATCTCTCTTGACTTGTCATGATGTGTTTTTATTTGTTGATGTATGTTGTCCTGAGTAAAGAAAAATTAAGATTTGAAATTATTGGCACAAATTTTCTATTCATTTATATTGTACAATGCCACTTTACACACATTATTAAACCAAATACGGGACCCCCTCCCCCTTCTGAACACCCATGAATTCAGTCAGGCCAACCTTGGTTCCATGATTTCAGCCCCAAATAACCCACAACAAGACAGAGAGGTCAAACTCTGAAATTCCTAATAAAGTAGTGATGTGCCAAAATTATCTTCAAGACAGGACAAGGGATAAATCCAAAGTATAAAATCAGCCATATTAAAGTTGGCTGTTCTTTTTCCAAAGTAAGCCTGCCCACCTTACATCATTTTGCCTTTTAACAAAACACACAAGCATACTGTGAAAGAGAACTGGTATTGGATTAGGGAATTAAAAATTAAACATCTAACTACTCAGAAAAAAAGCATTTACTACCAACTAAAAATATACTCCAAAAGGATCCCTTCACCTTTTATTGACTATATATAAGCCAAAACATTTTATAGTTTTGAAATTCTAGCAAATAAATTCTATTTTCAAACCACATATCTTATTTTTCTGCCAAATGAAACAGTAGTAAAGTGTGTTAATTAACAAACGGGGACTCAAAGCATCTACTGAGTGTTGTGACTAAAAATGAGAATTGAGTTATACAAATATTACATTAAATGTTAAAAAGCTGAAATTCCCTACACATTTCAAGATCTATTAAGCATTAGAGAAATATGAATGCATTTGTAAGCTCTTCAAAAACAATTTCCAAATGGGTAGAAGCATCCTGTCATCCTGTTCCCTAGATATGAAAAGCAAACATTGAAATTAGAGCATATACAGCTAAAAAAAAAAAAAACACTTTTAAAAATGACAACAGCAAGACAGCTTGAAAAAGAAAAACTCTTAAAAATATAAAAAGACAAAACAAATTTAAGGTGCTAAATATTCTGTGTAAGAAAGGGGCCTAAGAGGCCTAGAAAGATGCAAAGCCCTATAGTAACATTAAATTTGAACTAAAAAATACCGTTATTTTAAATAAGCAGCATTTTGTAGGAGGAAGGACAGCAATGTGACTATCAAACAGCTATCGATCAGTGCACTGTTTTGCTATTCTGTACTTATTTACTTATAAAATAAAAATTAAGAGGCAGCAACAGTTAGCCACGTTAACCACTAGCAAAGGTTACTTAAAGAAATGACCTTACATTTTCTACGGCACTTAACAGCTATAGATTATTTTCACATATATGACCTCATATAGTCCTTGCTACCTTCTGATGTGGCTATTACTGACTACATTTCATAGATAAGAAACTGAAGATCCGTGAGAGATTTTTCTCAGTCACCCAGTCAGACCCAGACATTCTGATTCCATGGTTTATGCCTCAATTTCGCATAGTTCTATTTCAGGCACATATGGGATTTTTAAAGGGAAGGAACTGGTTAGGGGGGAAATAATCACGGTACCTGCAGCTCTGTGCTGCAAAAAATGGCTGAATTATGCTTCTTCCTTTTTTTCCTCTCCCTCCCTCTCTCCCTCACTCTCTCTCTCCCCCTCTCCCTCTCTCTCCCTCTCCCTCCTTCTCCCTCCCTCTCTCTCCCTCTCCCTCTCTACCCCTGAAAAAATTTACATTTCAAACAATTTAAGTAAACTCAAAGACAAATTGGGTCCCAGCATCTAGCCAATGTTTGAGGTATGGCCAGTGCGGGAAGGGCCAAGGAACCCGTGCCTTCCTCGGGGCCGCGGGCAAAGCCTGGGCTCCGCAGGCCAGCGGCCAGGGGCGGCTACGCACCTCGGGGGTCCTGTCCAGCCTCTAGTGGACGGCAGTCTGCATCAGGAAGAAGCGGGCCAGTGGGCCGAACGGTGGGAGGGTCGGGCGCCGGGACGGACCTCCTTAGGCTCCTTGGACCTCTACAAGGGGCCGCTCCCTGGCCGGGCCGGAGCACTCCAGCACGGGTCGACCGTGCGAGCCTGAAGCCCCCTCAGAACCAGTCCTGGGAAAGAAGACAGCGCTTGAGTAGCGAGTCCAGACAGTTGGGCTAGGCGGGAGGCGCACGGCGTCGGGGCCGGGGCCCAGACTTGCCAATACCAGGGAGGGGAGGGGGGGCTCGCGGCACCCCACAAGGTTCGGCGGGAGAGCCGGCTTAGGGCCACGAACCGGGAGAGAGCTGAGGGGGCCGAGGGCAACAGCAGAAGCGCCAGCGGCAGCGAAGTCGACGACGGCGTCTCCGGGCTTCTGCCCCGAAGCGCGCCGAGCCTCAGGATCACCCACGCCGGGGGTGGAGGAAAGCGGGAAAGGGGCGGGAAAGGGGCGGGGCGTGCGGGGCCACAAGCCAGGGGCCGCTCCGGGCCTCGCGCCCCCCGCGGGCCGCGGAGCCGCCCGGGGCCCGCCCAGGGAGGCGGGGCCCGCCTGCAGGGGGCCCGGGCCACGGTGTCTAGGACGCGGAAGCGGGCCTCTCCGTGAGAGAGGGCGGGAACGGGAAGCGGCGGCTCAGAGAGCAGGCCCAGGAGGCCCTCTCAACCCCTTAGGGTGCCCCGTGGGGGCCAAGGCGCCGCCTGGCGGGTGTTTACCTTCCCCCTGGTCAAACGCCAATGCCGCCATCTTTCAGCCCAATGCTCGTCACTTCCGGCGCCACGGAGCGGGAGCGGGTGTGGGAGCCCGGTAGAGGGGAGATTGTCCCGCTCCTGCCGCGCGCCTTGCGCCGGCCCTGCCACTGCAGCGCTGGGGGGTGGGGAATGGGAGAGAACCGAGGAAAAGAGGTAGTGGGGCGTTGCAGGCGGGGTCGGATGAGGCTTCCCCTCCGAGCACCGCCGTCGGGGCTAGAGAGGCTGGGCTGTGCGCCTCCCCCAGTGACAGTGTCTCCTCGCCTGCCTGGGAGGTGGGCCCTGAGGCGCTGCGGCGAACGCACAGTGCGCAAGTTGAGGGCTTGGAAACCCGGAAAATTCTATTTTTTGCACACCATGGAATGAGGGGAGCTTTTGCCAACAGTAGCTGTTATAAAAGTGACTAGATAACACCAAATGACATCATTTTGTAAGGCAATTTGCAATGAATTGTTGCGTCACAGTTGCACTTGTCTTATGGCATAGCAACTACATCTTTCACATAAAAATTTCCCAGAGATGGAAAAAGTCAAAGAAAATGGCATGTCTTCACCACAGGCAGAAAAGTGTGATCTAAAAAAGCAGGTTTATTTTACGCCCAAACAGGCAAGAACGAATATTCAGAGGGCATCAATTTCTGTTGTTCATTGAGGGGGGGGTGTTTACAAGTCTGCTATGGAATTTAAGGTCATGGCCGTTAAATATCACCTTTTCTTGATTTAAGAATGGAACTAGCCGGGCGGTGATGCATGCCTTTAACCCCAGCAGAGACAGGTGGATCTGTGTGAATTCAAAGCCAGCCAATTCCAGGACAGGTTCCAAAGGTACAGAGAAACAAAACCTGTCTCAAAAATCCAAAAAGAGGGGGGGAAGGGGAAACTGCACCACAAGAGTGTTTTGTAAATTTATTGTGGATTTTTGTGAGGAAGTCGTAGAATTGTAGATGACAGAAATACTCAGTGGAAGACACTAGTTCTATGACCAGTTTAAAAATAAGGCACCCATTGGCCATTTTTGATCTTAACATAATTTTTGCTTCTACTACCTCTACCTCCACTCTACCAAGGAAAATAACTTTTTAATCTTATCTAAATAAACTGACACCTGCAGCAGTAATTCCTATTTTCAATTACAGTTAGGCATTGTTCAACAACAGTGATGTATTCTGAGAAATCAATAGGAAGGCAATTTCACTGTTAGGCAAACCTAGATGAGTGCCTAATGTAATGTACACCTTTAATCCCAGCATTTCAGAGGCAGAGGCAAAAGATCATCATTGTGTGAGGTCGACTTCATCTATATAGTGAGTTTCAGGCCAGCCAGGGGCTACCTAGTGAGACTATGTCTGAAAAAAAAAAAAAAGCTGTGTGTATACTTTTTCTCAGGTACTATGTTTTTTTTAGATGACTGGCAGCACAATGGTCTGTTTATACTGGAATAAACCACAAAAGGAATAACGTATTGCACTCCAGTGTTAGGATAGCTGTGACATCTGTGGGTAGTATGGATTTTTCAGCTTCACTATAATCTTTTGAGAACATCACCCTAAGCACAGTATGTAGTTGAAACTACATCCTTTCTTTTTATTTTATTTTTTACATTTATTTAGTAGGGAAAGGAGCCATGGAGATCAGACAGCTTGCAAGAGGTGGGTGAGATGGGTCCCTCTTTCCACCATGTGAATGCAGGGGATTGAATTTAGGTTGTCAAATTCAGGTAGCAATGCCATTACCTGCTGAGACTTGTCTCTAGCTCTATTTTTTTTTTTTTTTTTTTTGAGATGGCCACTCAATTATTTATCCCAAGATGGCCTTGAACTCATTATGTGTCCAAGAATGACCTTGATCCTGAGTGTTGGAATTAGAGTAGTGTGTAGTGTAGTTCTTTAATATAGTTCCTCAAGTTGTGGTGACCCCCAACATAAAATTATTCTGTTGCTACTTAGTAACTCTAACTGTAATTTTGCTACTGTTATGAATAGTAATGTCAATGTCTGATATTCAGAATATGAGAACCGCTGGTGTAGTGCTTGCCTAGCACACCTCAGGTGTCAAGGATTGAACCCAGAACCTTATACATGCTATACAAGTGCTCTATTAAAAGAGCTACATCTCTAAGCCTGAGATAACACACGGCTACTTTTCTCACCGGGCTGGAAAGTAACTGGAGTTCCTTCATTTTGGAAGAAACCCGAAAAGCACCTGCCTCCTGAGTTTTAGGATCACAAGTGTGAATGCCTGCCTGTGTTGCCTTTTCTTAGCTCTCTACCTTAAGTGTTTAAGAATACAATACACATCCCTCAGTCTGTTGATGTCTGGCTGTCTGACAGTCCTAAGACATGCTAGAAACTTGGGCTGGAATTAGAAGGTGGTCTCTACCTGGGGCTTGTAAGGATCGATGGTATTATATTTCCCTTGCCCCTTTCCTTTATTGTATTTTGTTTTATGTTTTAAGAAGTTGAAAGTCCACAGAGGAAGTGTGTACGTGTAATACCAGAATTAACAAGGCTAAGGCAAGAGGATGAAGAATTTGAGCCAGCTAGACCCTACCTCTGAAAACAAAAGAATACCTTGAGCTCTTATAATGCATGACTAATGGGAAATTGGGATGCAAGTAAATAAAGGAGAATTCCTGATTAGTGTTTCAGCATCTGGCTGCAAGTGGTTACCTTTCATTAGCACTGGCTCCTTCCCTTTTCTATTACCCCTGGCCTTCTGGTCTCATCACTTCTCCCAATTTTTCCAACTCTCTGCCCACCTCTTAATTCATGAACCTAACCCACTTTTCTAGGAAAAATCAAAACTGTAACGGACTTGCATCAAGACCCCCATCTCTTTAAATAGGCCAAGGAGATGTTTACACAAGGATTTTCCTCACTTGTTATCCCTTATGTCAGATCTCTAGTTATTCTGTAAGAATCTACATTGTTTCCCCTATCTTTTCTCATATCATGAAGCCCAAATCCCTCCACAGGATCCATAGAGGGTAAAGCCAAGTCCTTAAATACCAGAAAGAATCCTGAGTAAGAAGACAAAAAAATAAAACTTCTGAAAGGTACTGCCTAGAGTATGTACCTTGCTGTTTTTCAGGAACATAGGTTCTCCAACAAGTTAGCAACTCATAATTGCAAAGCCAGAATGACTCATCCTGACCTAAGTAACCCACCCCCCAAAGAGAGGCATCTGAAGTGTGTACATTGTATTAGTTCAGAAACCCTGGGAGTTACTCAAGGAAAATAAATCAGTAACCTGACTTAAGTCCACAGGACCAGAATGACTCAGCAGGATCTGTGTGACCCCAAGAGACAGGGTACCTAAACTATGTACATTTCAAACTATAGGGAGCTATCCAAGGAAAATAAATTAACAACTTTAATTTACATGACCAAAAAAGATAATTCAGCATGACCTATCCTAAAATCAAGCAAATTCTAAATGTTTTTAACTTCTACCCTTGAGTTCCCACCTAGCCCTTTTTTATTTTGGGGGTAGTGGGCATGGGGAAGAGGCTGGAGATAGAACCCAGGGCCTTGCTAGGTAACAAAAGGCTCTAGCATTGGGTTCCATAAACCCCCAGCCTCATTTCCACCCTTTAAACTCGAAGAAGCAAATAATCTCCTAGCAGACTTTAGAATGTAACAGCACAGCCCTTGTGGCTAGCCATCAGGGTTCAAAACATTCAAAGCTAGCCTCAGAGGAATAGGTGATAATAGGGTACTCTGGTAGAACCCAGACTTTGAAGGATTGAGCAAGGTGGGAGAGCTATAAATCCAGAAAGAAGGAGAGGGAGGAGAAAGAGTAAATAAGGCAACCACAGGCTGCATCTAGACCTAGGAGAAGCAGAAAGCTCTTCAACAACCACTAGCAATTGAATAGGGTGAAAATGTAGGCCAAAAGAAGGGGAGAAGAGAAAGGGACAAAAGGCCACAGACAGTAACCTATGTGTTGTCTCTTTCAGTGTTGTTGCTTTTAATATTTATTGAGTTTTTTCTTTGACAATTTCATATATGTTTAACATCTCAATTGGTATAACCCCCTCTTTAATCTAACTCTATAAATGTTGTAGCTCTGAAGAGAAAGGTATCCTGTCAGGAGCCAGGGAATACCACAGTCACACCCCACAACAAACCTCACATAGAAGAATTACTGGGAAAGGCATAGGAAGGAAACATCTATCTGTGAGGGTCTAGAGGAGTTGTGGGATTGTGACAGGCAGCTCTGGAGGGAAGGCAAGAGAAGGCAGGAAGGGCCCAATAACCTGGTCGGGCCTAAGGAAACTGCAGGATTATAGCTCCAAGGGTAGGGAGACAGGGTAGAAGAAGATGGCCAGTCATAGCCTTAAAGACCGTGACTAGGGGTTACCTACACCAGAGGGGTAACAGATACTCAATGGTCACTTCTTCAGACTCAGGGAAGCATTTACATCAACTAAAGGGGAAATTTACCTAGTTGCTCCTGGTGGGTGCCAAACAATTGCTAAGCTGGAAGGTGAGTCTGTTGTGGGTGAACCAGAGATGAGGGATAGGGTTCCAGTGTGGCTCAGACACTGAGGGTGAGCACAGGCACCAGAAGAGCCTATCTGAGTCACATCACCAATGTAAGTGTCACAGCTCTGAGGCAAAAGGTATCTTGACAGCCGGGAGCCAAGGATTACCACAAAGACACACTGCACAA